GTTTGCCTTGGTTGTATAGAAATAACCAAACAACAGGGAATATATTAAACAACCTTAAAGAAGGTTGTTGATTCACTTGATTGTAAGAAAAAAAGAATGAAATTAAAATGGGTTATGTGATGTCCATTTAAATAATTTTTTTGATTTAAGAATGTAAAACTGTGTTTATTTAAATAAGGGAAAAAATATCTGAATTAAAATAGATAGTGTAGGGAAAAATTTTAATTTCTTTTATTAGGTCGGGCTTCGGGCTCGGGCTTCGGGCTTTTTGTCAGGGCCGAGCTCGGGCCTATCATTTTTCCGTTAATAAAGACTAAAAGCCTGACCTGGCCCAGCCCATGAACAGGTCTTGTCATGAGGAGTAAAGAACTCATGACAAAAAACCCAAAAACCTAATATTAGTAATAAAATAATAATAAATTCATACAAACAAAGATATTAATTAATAATAATAATAATGTATAGATAAAATATTAATACAAATTTAAATAAAGAATAGAATTATTAATAAAATAATAATAATTAAGTAAAAATCAAATGATAATATATTAATATAATATAATTAAAGTAATAATAAATATTAACATATTAATTATTAAATAATTATCAATTAATTTTAAAATAATAAAAAGTAGATTAATAAATTATTAATGTAATACTAAAATAATAAATAGGCTAACACAAAATTAAAAATTTTTGGTTGATTTCGATTCCAGCTCCCGATGAACCAAACAACAACAATTAGAATCCAATTTTGATTCTCGATTGAACCAAATAGGCATTAGCAATAGGTGATTCTAATTTTGATTCTCAAGGATTCCAATTTCGGTTCTGATTCTGATCCTTTCTGCAACCAAATGAACCCTAAAATAATAATAAATCAAACTATCTAAATAGGTTGAAGTTAAATAATAAAACATAAAATAACAAAAATAAAAAAATTGTTCTAAAAATATTAATTTAAAATACACTAAATTTCCACTTAAAAATAATAATTATTAGTAAGTAGTAATAAAATACTAACATATTAATTATTAAATAATTTTCAATTAATTTTAGAATAAGAAAAAATAGAATAATAAATTATTAAAGTAATAATGAAATAATAAATAGACTAATACAAAATTGAATTTTTTTTTGTTGATTTCGGTTTCAATTCCAAATGAACCGAACAACAACAATCAAAATCCTATTGTGATTCTCAGTTGAACCAAATAGGCATCATGAATAGGTGATTCTGATTCCAATTCCGATTCCCAAGGATTATGATTTTGATCTAATTTCAATTCCAATTCTGATCCTATGTGTAAATCAAACAGACCCTAAAATATTAATAAATCAAATAATCTAAATAGCTTGAAGTTAAACAATAAAACACAATACAACAAAAATAAAAATATTATTCTAAAAAATATGAATTTGAAATCCATAAACTTCCACTTAAAAATAATAATTATTAATAAAACTTAGTAACAATAAAATAGATTTATCTTATAATACTTAATAAAAGTTCAGAAATTTGGTTTCCCTAAGTTGTTAATTAAAAATATTTCAATTTCACTTACAAATTAAACTTAACAAAGACTATTAAGAATAAGAATTTTAAACACTAATTAAGAATTTTGTTGTTTAACCTCAACCGCTTTAGATTGGATCAAATTCGGATATTCAATTTTATTTAATGAATTTAAATTGTTATTACCATATGTGATATCAGATAGGGTTGGATCTAACATGTGTATATATATATATAGCATGACTTTCCTTTTTCACTACCATTATTTTGCCCCATTAAGTCCACAAATTTTAAGGCCAAACTAGAAAGGCAGGCTTGAGCCCAACCAAACCAATATGACTTTTAAAAAAATAGTTAAATCACCTAAAAATAATAAGAGGGAGAAAACAAGAAGCAAGTTGTTGAAACTTTGAACCTGAACAAAACTCGGATTCCCGCTTTCAAGAACAAGCCCCCGCCTCGGTTGAAACAAACTTTCTAGAATTTGCCACTTTTGTTCACCAAGCAAAGCCCACAAAACTGAGAAGGCACAATCCTTAAGTGGGTTTTCTTTCTTTCTTGATTCTTTATTGTATAGATGGTTCTATTTTCCATTGCATCTTCAATATTCTAGAGTTTCTGATTATTTAGATGCCCTAGTTGATAACTATTACTTGAATCTACTTGTTTGGGGTAGCAACAAACGTTTGACATTGCCCTTGGTAAGAATGGTCATGCAATAATTGATGATAAGAATGGTCATGCAACAAGTGTCAGTTGGGCTCTCCCTGGACGACAAATTGCAATTGGCTTGAACGTACAATTTCGAAGTCCATATCACTCAAGCACTCCACGTGTTGATGTTACAATTTCCAACCAATACGATGTCAACCTAAGAGAGACTAAAACTAAAATTCATCGATGAGGGAACTAGAAGATTCCACCACCCAGAAAATCAGAGGGGATCGTATCATGTGGTTCTTGTTTTGACTATGAGTGCAAGGTTACCTGCAACGAATAATGGTGGGTTTGAACTCGATTGGTAATTTAATGGGTTTGTTTTTTAATTACACCAAGGCAATTGTAACCTGCAATCCGAGGGGAGGTGTGATTCCTCACATGCACAAGTCCCTGATCAACAAATCCTTGAAAAGACTAGTGGTTTCATGCTGTTTAACGGGTATTGAGAATCACCAAGAAGATTGTGGCGGTAGCGACGGCAACAGCAATAGCGGTAGCGAGATACAACAAATGCACAGTGATGGAAAATTAGGAAGGTTTCTGAAAATTTTTGTTAATTAGGTTTCATATTAAAAGTTACAAAATAGTGGAGAGCAAATTTGATATTTTGTTTTTTTATTAGTACTTAACGATGATGTCAATTGTCATAAATGGTAGAAGTATTTTAAAATAATATATAAAGAGTAAAAATAGAGTTAGTTAATTAATTAAACCATAACGATAGTTTAAAAAATTTGCCCTATTTAATATTATAAACATAATAATATATTATGATATATATAATTTCAGAGAAATAAATGTGACAAAAATATAATTAAAAAGGATAAAAAGATTAGAAATAAAATCATTTATAGGAATTTGATAATAACTTCATAAGGTGATAAAATGAAACAAAACAGATAAGATGGTTTGGTCATATACAGAGGAGACCATCAACAACACCTATAATAAGTAGTGAGAATTAATAAATGATTTAAGAACCAATAGATATGACATTAAATAGAATGGACTAGAAAAATAGGATTCATATAGCGACCCATATATGGATAAGAGTATGGTGATGATGATTTTTTAATAACATAAATTTATACATATATTGTTTTTAATATTATATATATTTAATCTTTTATAATAATATTTAATATTTCATTTTTAGAATTATAGGCGTAGGCCTAGAACCCAGCCCAGTTCCTGCCTGGGCCTTGGCTCTTATTTCAGGCTCGGGGTCAGGCTGGCCCCGGCCCATGATCATCACTTAAAGTTCCAACCGCTAGTTGAAAATTTGTTAAACCTTGGTAGCTCTGCGGCAGATCTATATCCCGTTACGCGCCAATTTTCCAATGCGGCGTGCAGGGGATTAGTAGGCTTGAGAGTTTGAGAGAGAGAGAATGGCAGCAATTGGATGGTATGGACCCCTAATCGATCTATCGAAGGCTGGCTCTCACGTCGGCGAATACGTTCAGCTGCTCGTGTTTGTTCACAAGTCCAGACCAATTCAGGTTACTTCTTCTGCCCATCTCTCCCTATATGTTCAGCTGCTTCTTCTACATGCAAGTCCATATTGACCAGCATTGGTAATAGGATATTTCTTTCTGATTCTGATTCTAGATTGAATTTATAATCTTCCCAAAATCTGGATATAGTTTTTTCTTGTTGTACAGTCTGTATTATAAGACCAAAAAGACTTGATGTTTCTTTAACTGTCTGTCAACCATCTCATTCTCGATTCATGTCTCCGGTAGATATCTTTTTTGGGAGCCAGCTTCTTGAATCCTTCACTGGATTCTGTTCTTCCTGCCTTTTCCTCCTTTGAGAGATAGGTTTACCTTAGTTGTCAGTGATAAAAATGGTTCTCCATTGCTATTATCCCTCACTTCTATCTCCCTAAGCATCTGTTTGGGCCATCTCTTTTTTTTTTTTTTTTTGGATTTCCAGTTTCAATGCATTGTTTATTGTTTTGTTTTGTTTTTGTTTTTTTTTTCAGAAGTCACTACTTCCTATTCGTTTTAAAGGAAAGTGTGACCCACCGACTTTTCACTTATTTTAAACCTACTCTTGAGCCGGAAGGTCTATGATTCACTGCATTGAAATGTATGTCTTACTGCATTAACCATGTTAAGTGTTGTCACTTGGCCAAAAAATAAATGAAAAAAAAAAGAAAAGAATCTCATGTTGTTTTTGATGGATAATATTGTATTCCTGAGGAAACATATATTGACAAGCTCTATGATGATATTTCACTTCCATGGAAGAACTCAACTAAGAAGGGATTGTGTTGCTTTCTCCTGAATATGCTGATTTTTAGTCATTGAGAAACTTGAATTATCATTTATCAGTGCTCAGAACTAGTCTCTCTCAACTTCTTCCTTTTTTCCCCATATGATCTTCCAACTATATTACTTTGATGCAAGTACTTCCCATTTCTTCTGGGCCTCTTGTTGGAGAGACTTGGTCAGTTGGATACTATATAGCATAATAGCATCATATGACAATTTTTGGTTATATTTGCATCTCATCTGTGTATGCATATATTTTGTTTGGGGAAGAAAGAGGCCGACAGGTAAGAATACATGGGGTGCTAGTGCTATCTATTCCCAAGAATTGTCAAAAAATTTAAAAGCTAGTTCACTAAGAATTCTAGAGGCCTGCATTGAATGTAAAGACATAATTAGCATTTTGTGCTATATTATTCAGCCAATTTGCAGCAAAATGATCTTTAAGAAACGTGTGGGAGATTTCAACATGATCATATACCATATGCCGAATCTGCAAAATGGCCTTTACGACAAATGCTATCCATTACTACCTTGGAGTCACTTTTTAGCAAAATTTTCCTGCTTATATCCTTTACCATATTCAAACCTTTGTGAGCCATCCATCTCTCTTCAACTAAAATTGAGAATGACCCAATCTCCATTGCAAGGCTTTTCACATGTATATCGAAGCAGTAAAGGTTCTCTATAGATCTGTGGTGGCAACCAAATGCAGTAAGGTGTTTTTCTGGGTTTGTGGTGGCAACCGAATGCATTAAGGCTTTGTTTTCTGAGGTTTCTCTATGTGCTGTAGGTTGTGGAAGCCAGGTATGTACTGTAACATTCATATGTAAACATTTGACCACTGTGAATGTCACAGTTTTGAGGTTGTAGGGGCTGGTTGTCTCCTCCTCTTATACACTGAAGTGTTTCAGCTAAGAGTTATTGACCTACAGTCCTGTTGAACATATTTTTGGAGCCTTCTTATTTTTCAGAAGAAAAAACCTTCTATCTTAGATTGGTTTTTTGAAAAAACAGCAATGAATTTTTTTTGGAAATGGCTACTGAGGATTCAGCAACCTCTCGTATTACTTCCCAACAAGGAAACCTAAATGGGGGAATGGATAGCATGAAATTCTCTATGTCTATTACCCCCTTTGATGGCCTGAATTATCTGGAATGGTCCAAAGGCATCAAACCTTATATCACAGCTAGGGGGAAGGCTGGTTATATAAGTGGAAAAATAAAAGAACCAAAGTCTGGTACTGCTGAACATGATCAATGGGATCAAGAAAACAGCATGGTTATGTCATGGCTGTTAGGCTCCATGTTGCCTCATGTAAAGAAAAATTTCATATGGGCTGGCACAGCTTGTGAAAATTGGGAACAAGCCAAGGCAACCTATTTTGAACAAAGGCACTTTGCCAAGATTTATCAGCTTCAAGTAGAATCATCTATTTGTAAGCAAGGAGACCGTAGCTTATCTACATATTATTCAACCCTTACATCTGTCTGGAAGGAGCTGGACTATTATCAGACTATTGACTGGAAGAATGATGTGGATGCACAGGCCTACAAAAAACTTGTCTCCCAACAGCGGTTTTTTGCTTTCTTGCATGGGCTGAATCCGGCTTATGAGCCTCTTCGGGTGCAGATTTTGGGAAGTAGGGAACTTCCTTCAATTCAGGAAGTATATGCCCTAGTCCAATCTGAAGAGAGCAAGAAAAATCTCATGAATGTTTTTGAGGGGGAGCAACTTGTTGCCTTGGCTGCAAGAGGGGGTAACACAGGAATGAAAAAGGGAGAATCAAGGAAAGGTGAAGACAAGGACAAACTGTGGTGTACTCATTGCCAGAAGCCTAGACACACTCGAGAAACCTGTTGGGAGTTGGTGGGGAAGCCCAAGTGGGCAACCAAAAATCAAGACACTTCAAAGAAGCCTCCTCAAAAGAAATTTACTTCTGCATATCTGGCCACACAAGATTATCAGCAAAATAATTAGACTACTGTTTTTTCTCAAGAGCATCCTAGTGGTTCTGATCCCAAGGAAGACCCCATCAATTCCTTCAAAGATCATTTGGAATTGTATGGTAGGACATTTGGGCAGATGGATAGGTCGATTCCTACCCCTTCTACCTCATTCGCTTCTACATTAGGTAAAGGTGCTTCTGCATTTCATGTATGTACCTCTGCTCCCGAGTCACCTTGGTCATTGATTCAGGGGCATCAAACCATATGACTGGTAAGTCAAATCTCTTTCATACCTACACTCTTCTCTCTAGAAGGGATAAAGTGAGACTTACTGATGGGTCTCTATCCACCATTGCTGGTCAGGGATCTGTATCCCTTCCTGATGGCCTTGTCTTATTCCATACCCTTCATGCTCCCAAACCTTCTATTAATTTGTTATTGATAAGCAGTATTACTCAGTCCTTAAACTGTTGTGTAGCATTTTTTCCTCATTCTTGTGTTTTCCAGGATTTAACCTCGGGGATGACGATTGGTAAAGGAAATGTGGTTGATGGTTTCTACATCTTGGAGAATAAAGCTGGTCTTGTGGCATCAACCTTTGTGAGTCTTATAAGTCAGTCTACGAACAGTCAACTGTGGTTGTGGCATAATCCCCTTGGTCATTTGTCCTTTGAGTCTTTGAAAGTTATGTTCCCTGAATTGTTGAAATCAGTGTTTATTACCAATTTACATTGTCAAACGTGTTAGTTGAGTAAGCATTGTAGAACAACTTTTCCATCAAATAATAAAAGATCTACTTTGCCTTTCCATGTTGTATTTTCTGATGTTTGGGGCCCTGTAAACATACCTACTGAGGGTGGGTACAAGTACTTTATCAGCTTTATTGATGACTATTCGAGATACACTTGGATATATCCTATGCATTTGAGAGAAGAAGTACCCAAGATTGTGCAAGATTTCCATCGCATGGTTTTCACTCAATTTCATGTTAAAGTCCAAATTTTCTAATCGGATAATGCAAAGGAGTATTTCTATCATAACTTAGCTGAGTTTTTCTCCTTTCTTGGATCTCTTCATAAAAGCTCATGTTCCAGAACACCACAGCGGAATGGCGTTGTTGAAAGGAAGAACCGACATCTCCTTGAAGTTGCCCGTAGTATGATGCTTCACATGCATGTTCCAAAACGGTTTTGGGTTGATGCTGTGATGGCTATAGCTTATGTTATTAATCATATGCCATATGCCATCGCGCCTCTTGCAATACTGTTGAGTTGGGCCGATTTTAAGTTATTGGGCCAGCCTTTTATTTTTTATTTTTAAGTTGTTAAGTTAGGAAGTTATTGGGCCTTAGGCCCATTAGTTTATGTTATTTTAATTTGTGACTGTTCATCTACTTAAAGTAGCTGCCCTACTAAGGGTATTCTTGTAATATTCCATTCTTTTATTTTAAGTATATAAATCAAGAGGGGTTGGCAGCCAGATCTATTCAATTCTGGCGACATCCCACTCTCTTTTCTTCTTCTCTATTCTTCTCCACTGCTGAAACCTTTCAGCTTCTTCTACTTTTCTTCACAAGGCATTCATTTGAAACTGTTATCAGCAATTTCTACTTGGTATCAGAGCAGGCCAAAGGTTTCTTGAGCTGTTCTATCATGCAGCCCTAGATCAGCCGACTACATGGTGATATGAGAGGCTGATTGAAGACCTCAGGTAAGCCCAGTTTTTGGATTTTTTTGGTGGATCTGTTTTTCCCTGTAGCTGGTCTAGGGTTTCACATCAAATTCAGGAAGAACTGGAGAAAGGGGGAAGTCCTGTTTTTATAGGACTCTTCAATTTTGACCTAGGAAATGGCGCCCTAATTTTTTAGGGTTCCTTGGAGTTTTCCGAGGGGGGCAGTTCAAGTCCCATTTGTTTTGGAGGCCTCTGGAGGAAGTGGCTGTTTTTTTCTCTCTTCTCCCGTCCCGCGAAAAGGGAATCTTTTGTAGGAGGACCACCTAGGGTTCCAAAAGGGTGTTTGTGGTGCCTGAAAGGGATTATTTCTTTTTTCTTCATCTCAAAGTGATTTTCTAACCCTTTTGTTGGGAATAATGGAGGTTCACGGAGTTGACAACAAACCGGGAAGTGAAACGGGACAAGGGGAAAGAGGTGTTCGAGACCTTTTCGGGGTTGGGCCCATCATTATAGTTAAGTTGGATGGTACAAACTTTTTAGAATGGTCACAATCTACCAAGACAGCCATTGGTGCTCGTGGGAAGTTGGGGTATATCGCTGGTGAGGAAGTGAAACCAGAGACTGATAATTTCCGATGGGTACAGGAAAATTATATGGTAATGACTTGTTTGTGCAATTCCATGCTGTCCCATATAAGTAAATTTTTTTTTGTGAGCAAATACAACTAAGGAAATTTGGGATGGGGTTGCAGAAACCTTCTCACAAAGTGAAAATGTTGCTAGGGCCTATCAATTGAGGAACCAGGTTATTGCAACCAGACAGGGAGATAAACCTATTGCTGTTTATTTTTCGGCCCTTAAAACCTTGTGACAGGAGATTGACCATTTGGAGACAGTGGTTTGGGAAACCACTATGGATGCTACTGCCTACCAGAAACTCTTAGAGAAGAATAGGGTTTTTGAATTTCTTGCTAGTTTCAATCCCAATTATGACATTGCAAGGCAACATATCCTTTCCAGGGATAGTGTTACTCTCTCTCAGGAATATGCCTTTGTATCAGGGGAAGAGAGTAAGAGGAATGTGATGATGAGGAATTCGGGTCTTGAACAGTCAGCCATGGTCAGTACTGTGAAAACTAAATAGAGTGGAGACCAGGGTGGTAATGAAAGCAGGAAGGAAGATAAGAAGGATCTGATTTGTGACTACTGTAAGAAGCCTAAACACACGAGAGATACCTGTTGGAAGCTTCATCCTCACCTTGTGTCGAATAGACTCAAAAACAAGAAGGGAAATGTTAACATGGTAGTCACCGGTGACTTACCTGACCCCACTACTATAGCTACTTTGGAGTATGTTGCAATTGCTGTAGTGAGGGCCGAACTTGAGAGATATGGGCAGTTACTAAATTAGCGAGATACAGTTAGCCCTAATCCGGTAACGGGTCGACAGCTAGGTACAGGTGGTTCTGGTGGTGGACATTCTACTTCCTTTGCTCATACAGGTAGTTCACATGCCATTGCAAACTATGTTTCTACTACAGATAAGGAGGGACCTCCTTGGATTATAGATTCTAGAGCCTCAGAGCACATGACCCATAGTTCCACTATTTTTCTTCTTACCAACTATATTCTGGCAAAGACAGAGTTTCCATAGCTGATGGATCTCATGTTCCCATTGCTGGGAAGGGGTTTGTTAAGATTACTGATTCCATTTCCCTACCCTCTGTCCTTCATGTTCCCAGATTGAGTATTAACTTGTTATCTGTTAGTAGTTTGACTAAGAACTTGAATTGCTCAGTGATTTTTTTCTCCTGGCCATTGTGTTTTGCAGGATCTAGTTTCAAAGAGGATGATCGGGAGTGGTCGTGAGGTGAATGGAATCTACCTTCTGGATGCGCTTCCTCATCATCTGAGTCATCATGTTAGCAGGGATTTTGAGTCAGAGTTTGTGGGTCAGATTTTGCTTTGAAATAATTGTTTGGGACATTTGTCTTTTTCTTCTTTGCATTTCTTATTTCAGAAGTTATTTGAGTCTATTAATTTGTCTAGCTTAGAGTGTGAAAGCTGTCAGCTTGGAAAACATTGTAGACATTCGTTTAAAGCTAGTAATAAAAGGTGTTCATTTGCTTTTGATGTTATTCATACTGATGTGTGGGGACCATACCATGTTCCTTCTATGGGTGGCTACCGATATTTTCTTTTATTTTTGGATAAGTTTTCTCGGTATTCTTGGATTTACTTAATGAGATCCCGTGATGAGGTACCGTCCTTGTGTAGAAACCATTGATGTGGTCCCCACCTCTTTCTATTGTACTCGTATACAACTACTAGTTATTTAAGTGTCAGTCCACAATTAGTTGTTAGTCATTTATTAGGACTTTAATTGTTGTCTTTTATTAGGATTTTAGTTTTGCCATGTAAGCAGTCTTATCCTTACTTCAGAATTAATATAAATAGAAAGAGGGGGGCGACAGATTAAGCATCCTCTTCTTTTCTGGAATCCTTCATTCGAAATCTTCTTCTCTTCTTTTCTCTTTCTCCTCTCATTCTCTCCTCTCATCCTCTTAATTTCCTGTTGATTATACACCACAACTTGGGCTGTTAGTAGTCTCATACGACTACATGGTATTAGAGCCAACCTAGGAAATCTTATGATAGTCTGACATGGCCGGCTGCATAAGAATTTCCTAGGGTTGGAAAATTTCCAGCAAAAAGGATCATCGGCTGAGTCTTGGAGATTGTTGGTAAAGCATTAGAGGATGACCAACAATC